GCACTTAACATCAGTAACATATCAGACTACCACTAGGACATTACTGATTAATTAGAGGCCTTGGATGGCTGGTCTGCTGTTTTCATTTGTCCCCTCTAGCTGGCAAGGTGTTTGTTGGGTGTTGTTTTTTTCCCGGGGATGAGGTTGGTTTGCTGTGTTTGCTATATTGCTGCTTTGGTCTCTGCTTCCAGCCTGCAGCAATGCTGTTTATCCCTACCTATGTAGTTAGGATGCCTTCTCTAAGGACCCTAAGGGGCCTTGCGGAAGAGGTGGGTGCACCAGATTGTAAGAGTCAGACTCAGGTGTGGATAGTAGGGAAACCGTAAAACTGATCGCTACAGACCAGTAGGAGTCCTAGTGTGGTGCTGTAGCATAAGAACTGGACCACAAGGTCGGTGGTTCGAACTCACCAGTCGCTCTTCGGATACTCTATACAGGGTTGCTGTGAGTCAGATCCGACTCGACAGCATTTAACAACAACAGACCAATAAGTAAGCACAAAGAAGCTATGCTTACCTTGCTTGGTGGGCATTCTGTCCCTGTTAGGGATTGCAGATTTTAAGAAAGACTTTGAATCTATAGGAAGATGCTGTGGAGTTGGGATAGAGATATCAGCCATACCTAGAAGTAGTCTTTGATGTGGTGAAAAATGTGAAATTGTTCACTGCAGATTAATAAGTAAGCACAAGTAAGCCTATACTTACTTTACTTCTTGAGTAATTAGACACGGTCCTGGCTGCTCCATATAGTTTGAAAAAGGAGAAATGAGAAGATCTAGAATTGAGCTGTACCATTTTCCTGCCACAGGCTGAGGCTGACTGTGTGAGCAGGCTCTCTTTGTGTAGCCTCAACACCTCCTCTCTGTCCTGCCCTGAGCCTGGCATCTGGCATCTTGGCAGCATCATCAGACTCTGGCTGGGTTCAGCCAGTGGGGAGTAAGAATAAGATATTAGAGGGAGAGTGGAGAGGTATTTATTGTCCAGTCCCTCTTTGCTGATTGCCACGCCTGTCTGATGACCTTCTCCTATAGCCCTCTCACAGCTCTGGTTAGATTGTATCTGCCCCTCACCTGCCCTTCAGATGCAGGGATGTAACAGCTTCCAGCACTGTTGCTCCCAGGATGCTTCATCAGTTTTGAGTGGATCCCTTCTTATGAACAGTCCCTTCTTTATGCATTCCTCAGTTTTCCACCAGGCCCCACCAGCGTATCCATCGATGTGTGAGAGTGGACATGCTAAGGAATCTTCCTTCAGTGACTAACAAGCCATGTCTCCAGGTGTCTGGATGTGGCTCCCCCATGGATGGGAGGGGCAATGTATGCAGGACATGTGGGTACAGCACATCCATGAGATCAAGTCCATGAATGAGAAGTGGGAGACGGTGCAGGCAGATGGGCAGTCATAGAACTCTTGATGATCATGATGCCTGCCATTCAAACCATGCACGAAATCAGCATTCCTGAAACACGAGACAACCTCAACCACTTAACCTTCTTGTAAACACCTTTTCCCCTTGAATTGATCATTGCTAAGGAGCTCTGGTAGCGTAGTGGTTACGAATCAGGCTGTGAACCGCAAGATCAGCCAGCAGTTTGAAAATACCAGCTGTTCCACAGGAGAAAGATGAGGCTTTCTGCTTCCGTAAAGATTTACAGCCTTGGAAACTCTGTACAGGGTCACTATGAGTCGGAACCAAATCCATGGCACTCAACAACAACAACAAGGAGTTCTTGGAGTACTAGTGTGGTGCTGTGGGTTAATGCTCCAGACTGCAAAGCCATTTGAACTGAGAGGTCGGCAGTTCAAGCTCACCAGCTGCTCCTTGGAAACCCTATACAGGGTTGCTATGGGTTGGAATTGACTCGACGGCACTCAACATCAACAACAAAGGGGTTCTTATGTGGAGCTGTAGGATAAAAGCACTGATTTCTAGCCACAAGTTTAGTAGTTCAAACCCACCAATCACTCCTCAGAAATCTATGGTGGTGGTGGTAGTGTGCCGTGGAATCGGTTCCAATTCATAGCAACCCTGTATAGGGTTTCCTGAGGCTATAAATCTTTACGGAAGCAGAAAGCCTCATCTTTCTCCCGCGGAACAGCTGGTAGTTTCGAACTGCCGACCTTGAGATTCGCAGCCCGACTCGCTAACCTACACTACAAAAGCTTCTTTCAGAGATCTATACAGGGTCGCAATGAGTTGGAACCAACTGGATGGCACTTAACAAGCTGACAAGTTGCTTTTTGACAAACTGGTTCTCCTTGATTTGCTGATTTAGGCTTTGCAAGGTGAGCTGTTGGTCAGATTCCTCTTGGCATTCCACTACTCAGACCAAAGCCCGATTCTCCCTTCCCCAGAAGAGCCTTGGCTTAACCTTCTGACTCAGGATGACCTGCCCTGGGGTACCTGTGTTCAAGGACTGCTTTCTTGGGGCCCAGCAGAAGTTGGGTGTCTTCTACGTACGGGTAGGGAGGGCGACTTCCACCTGAGCCATCCTCAGCCTCATCCAGGAAGGTAAAGATTTCCACACAGGAGCCACCTGTGAGCCCAGACCCTGAGACCAGAGTCCAGAATTAGTTAGAAGCTTCGTGAGCCATCCCAGGATCTTTGACTGGAAAGGACTCCAGCCCTAAAGCAGTGTGTTCCAGAGAGAAAGAGTTCACAATGCCCCTGTTAGACACAGGCAGGGTTAGGGGGAGATCAAGACCTGGAGGCCAAGTCTGGCCCTGGGCAGTTTAGCCCCTCCATGTCCTTGCCTGGCCCTATTGGACCTCTGGACACATTTCTGGACCCAGCTTTGCCAAGAATCTGGGACTGTGCTGTGATGTCACTGCAGCTGGGGTGCTCACACTGGGGACAGTGTGTTAGAAGCAGGGTCTAGGGGAGAGGATGTGCTGGGAACACAGCAGTAGCCTGGCAGGAAGGGAAAAGCGCAGACCTTCCCAGACTCTGATGGGTTCTGCTATGCTGAGTGACTGAGCTCCACCCAGAGCATGCCCAGTGCCTGGGAAGCTAAGGGGCACAGCCGGGGTAGGAGTCCAGAGTGAGGACCTGTGGGTCTGAAAGTCACCCCAGTTCTGGTGGGAGGTGGGCGACACTGCCTTGCTATAAGGGGGCACAGAGAGGATCTCTATGGGTGGGGCACACACAAAAACCGAGAAACCGAGGAAAGGCCTTTGATAGGTTCAGGGGTATCCCTGTGGGTCCCTCAGTCTAATTCCTACCAGTGTGTCCACATTCTGTGGTGCTAACTCTGAAGCCCTGAGATTGGTTCTCACAAGGAGATGACTGAATAATCTGGATCTGGTTACATTCCAGGGTCTTTGCTTCTGTAGTCCATCTAAGGCCCCAGGAAACGCTCTGGCAATAGGTCCACAGGGTGTACCTGCATATTTGTGAAATTTGTAGATAATTTTCTCTAAGAGAATGCCTCTGAATTGTTTAAGATCCAATCCACCCTTGCCCAAAGGGATGACGTGTGAGTCTGTGACCTTGTGACCCAGAGTTTCTGCTACTGAAAGCATCCACTGCCCTCCACACGTGGACCAGCCACAGCCCTGGGCCTCCCAGCACACTGCAGGAATTCAAGAGGGCCTTGGTCCTGTGGGGCCTACGCTGTGAAGTCCATGGTCAAGTAAACACTAATTAGGACCCGCCACACCTGGTGGAGCAGCACTTAGGGACACGAGGGGAGGCAGCCTCAGACTCCTGCCCTACTCTAGACCTGCCCATGACTGTCCCCCTCGTGCCCTCTCTGAGGTGCCCAGTGGGGTTACATCCCCCAGCCTTCTTGTTCTGAGGTAGTCCTATGCCCCAGCTGATCTTTGGCCCACTTGGCCAGTTCGTTGTCAAGGGGCCCCACCCAAGCACATCCAGTGATGAGGTGGAGGGAGCAGAATGTTTACCATGCTGCTGAGAGCCATGAGCTTACATGCATCATCCCATTGTTCGTGACATGGCCAGGAAGGCATGATTGTCCCCATTTTATTGATGAGGAAATGGAGACTTAGATTATAGTAGTGACTAAGGGGATGAGCATATGACCTTTGGCTTAAGGCATCTTTCTCCATCCTGAGGAGCTAGGGAGACAGCCTGGCATGGCATCATCAGGGACCAGCAGAGCAGCTTTCTGAGGGAATTCTGGGAAATTCTGGCTATGGCCAGAGTGGTGGTGGGATCATTTGTCTGCTCCTCCAGGGCCCCTGGGTTGGGGGAGGGACACTGCTCATCTTGCTGGGCCTTCCTGGAGGCTGGGGTTCCAAGATACAGGGAGGGCAGGGGTTTCTTTATGTGATGGCCCCTAGAACTTTTGTGAGTGAGAGCCAGCTGACTAGCAAGCCCAGGCTGGACTACATACTAGTTGATGTTATGTCCTTCTCTACCTTGGGCCAGACACTGCGCTGAGTCTCAGCTCCCCAATCTCCCCACCCTCATAGTGGTGGCTGGGATGCTATCTGATCCGTGGGGATGCGGAGGACGGGATGCCCCCACCTAACCTGAGGGCTTGCATAGGTCCCTAAACCATAAAACCTCCAAATCTTTGACCAGGTCACATTTGGGACTCTCAGTACAGCAGGTTTGAAGTCCTAGGTCTGTCACCTGGTACATGGGTACACACCAGAGCCCACAGCTGGAAGACACCAGGTCTGGCAGGAGCTACTGTCTCCCAACTCCCCTCATGGCCCCTGCTTCAGTGGTGGGGTGTATCCCGGAACTGACCCCTTTCTGGATGTCCAGTCACACCTCTGATCCCCTGTTCCTCCCTACGTAGGGTCCAAGAGGGTGGCAGAGTCTCCTGCCACCACAGGGGCTCTGCCAGACATCCAGTGCAGAGCGGCCCCACCCAGTCTTTTCCTCACCCTCACCCACGCTGACTCATTCCGCCCAGCCTCCCACTTGTCAGGTGAGCACTCTGGCGCCCCAAAGCCTGGAGAAGAGGCATCTATAAAAGCTGCGTCGATTCAGGCCCAGCATTCTACTTGACTGCCACCTGCTACCTCAGCATGCTGGGAGGTCTGGGGAAGCTGGCTGCCGAGGGCATGGCCCATCGCACTGAGAAGGCCACCGAGGAAGTTGGTAAGGGTACCAGGGCTCCTTCCACCGGGTCTGTTCCCTTCAGCCTGGGGCTGGAAGCACACCTACTGCGCTTGTCGGAGCTGACCTCAACAGGCAGATGAGCAGGTTGGGGCTGGAACCTGGGCCGATAGTCCCACTATCACAGAAGTGGAAGTGGGGCCTTCAGAGCATGAGGGTGCCTTGGGTCTGAGCTCAGCCTGCTCCTGAGGGTGACTAAGGAACAGAGAGGGGGCCCAGGGGTGAGCAGCTTCTGGGTGGTAGCAGGCCGCTGAGATCCTGTTCTGAATATGAAAGATAACGAAAAGTCGATTTTTAGTTCTGTTTTTACCATCACTTTAAAGTTTTAAAGATTTCTTCATTGAGAAATCACCAGAACCAGTCTCCAAGGACAATTGCAATTTCCCTAAATCCCCAGAAGCCCTTTGTGTATGCGGAGGTCAGCAGTGTAGAATGGGAGGCTAGTCCAGGTCTCAACAGGTGAGACATTGCCATGAAAAGAATTTGGGGCCAATTTGTTCTTCTGAAAAAATGTCTGTATTTCAAAATTTTAACTCTACAGCTGGTGTTGGCCACCTGCTTGAGTCTTTCACTCACCTCTAAGAAGTACGTTCTTCCCATTTTATAGATGAGGGAGCCCAGGGGTGAAGGGTGGAAGTAGGATTAGAATCAGACCTTCTGACTCTAAACTGTTTCCATTCTATCTCACTTTATGTCCAAAATGTTTCCATTCTATCTCTCACTATCACCCAGAATACCTCAGAGAGTCAGAGAGGTTCCTTTTGCTGGAGAATTGCTTTAGGGGATTTGGGTTTGCAGCTTTATTAGTCCATCATGTCCTGAGCAGTGTTGTAGCTAATCGACCATTCCAGGAAAAACTTTGGTTCCAGGTTCCTGGCTGATGGGAGAGCTGCTTGTCAGCATTCCAGACCATTTCAGGCCTGGGGGTGCAGGGGGCACCCTATCCTGACTGTCCTTCTCTGACTACTCAGTTGGTCCCCTGCAGTCAGACCCCACATCAATCTCTGAGGGAAGCCGGCTGGGAGCAGCCCTTCCTGTGTCTTCCCTGCCCTCCCACTGCCCCCTGGGTGCCCAGGACTGCCTGACCCAGCTGTGAGGAGGCTCCCCTGGTAATGCACGCTCATCTGGATTTGTACCTCTTTTCAGTTCACGTTGTGGAAGGCGTGGTGAAGGAAGTGGTGGAGCACGCCAAGGAGGCTGGAGAGAAAGGTAGGGCCAGGGTCAGAGCTGGAGAAGATGGGAGGGAGGGGAGCTGAGTGCTGGGGGTAACCTGTTCTTTATCCAACCAGTTCAAACACTGACCTGGTATTTCCAGTTGGTATGCAATTATCTGTGCTCATCTGATGCCACATTATCCTCATACTCCATCTAGAAAACCCTCATGGTGGTCTGTGACAAGAAGCTATGTGGCAACATGCTAGAATGAAATATTGAAGATATACATTTATGTAACCATATAAATATAGTTATAGTAACTTAAATATATGAGGTTAAGTCAAAAAGTATTGCTACTAGGGTTCCAGTTCATACATGCACGGGTTTACTCTAAACAAAGTATGTTTGGACAAGTCTCTGCAATCGGTGGATAGCTGCAGACAGGTGTTCAGTAATAGAGTTGTCTTAATCTTGTTGTGGTTGTTATTGTTAAGTGCCTTCAAGTTGGTTCCAACCCATAGCGACCCTATACGGGGTTTCCAAGGAGTGGCTGTTGAGCTTGAACCATCAACCTTGTGGTTCAAACCGATCTTGTAGTCCAGTGCGTTAACCCTTCTTGTTGTTGTTGTTAAGTGCCATAGAGTTGATTCTGACCCATAGCGACCTTGTATAGGGTTTCCAAGGAGCAGCTGGTGAGCTTGAACCACTGACCTTGCAGTTCAAACGACTTTGCAGTCTAACGTATTAGCCCACAGCACCACACCAGGTGCCTTAAAAAGACATAAAACAGTGGTTTCTGAGGGGATCTGCTGGGCCAGTTAAATTCAAGGCAGAGAGAGAGGTCAGCTTAACAGTTTATGGCAACAGTTTTTTGGGATTCCGAAAAACACATAACTTCAATAGAATTCATAGATTCTCTCAAAGAACACATAACTTCTTCATAATAAGTCCCTGGTAACATAGGGGTTTGTTATAAAGAAGATAAAAATGGAAAACTGCATTAGTGAGGAAAAGGCCAGGAAAGCTGTTGGGAAACATTTTTTTTTTCCATCCTGACAATGCACCTGCTCATTTTTCGAAGGTACAAAGGCTGTCCTATGAGAATTTCATTGGGAAACCTTACCCCAACCATCCTTCAGCCCTGCCTTTGCCCCTTTAGATTTCCTTTTGTTCCCAGAACCCAAAGAACATTAAAAAAAAAAAACAAAAAAAACATGTTTTGAGTTCCTCGATGATGCAAAAACTGCTGTTTTGACATCATGTAAATTGAAGGATGCAGAATTCATTGGGGCAGGGTTAGAGAGATGGAAATACCACCTTCAGAAGTATATAGACCTAGATGGAGGCTATGTCAAGAAACAATGGCTTCATATTTTGATACTTTCATTTAACAAAGGGTTTCTGTGATTTTGTAGCAATATTTTTTGACTTACCCTCTGCATGAATAATGTCTTTTATAAAAATTAACACAGGCCTGGTCCCTAAGAATTAGAGGTTAAAGATATCCCAACTGTTCGACTTTTCCAACCACCACTCCTCCTTTCCCTCAAGTCCCAGGGTTCTGCAACATGCTGTAACGTCTCACAAAACTCACAGTTGTCAAGAGAAATGGCTCACACAGTTGTGGAGACTGGCAAGTCCCAAATCCATAATTGAGAGATGAGTCAGGAGGACTCTTCTCACCCATGTAGTCTCAGGAGCTGAGGAACCCAAATCGGCAGGTCACATGACAGGCTGTTAAGGCACAAAGCTGTGGATGCTGGTGAATCAGGGCGGGTGATGAGCCAGAGATCCACAGCAGTCTTATAAATTGGAGTCAGACCATGCTGCCAAGGGAAACTAAGGGTGGTGCCTTGAGTCACACCCTCTGCTAAGGTGGGGGCACTCTTAACCCTTAGTTCCACTGTAATCTTTACTCCTTCGTTGTTGTTAAGTACCATCAAGTCGGTTCCAACCCATAACGACCCTGTATAGGGTTTCCATGGAGCAGCTGATGAGCCTGAACCATCAACCTTGCAGTTCAAACTGACTTTGCAGTCCAGCATGTTAGCCCATAGAGCCACACCAGGACTTTAGCCCCACCTTAATCTTTACTCTTTAGCAACTCACCCCAAAAGGGGTCCATAATCGCAGGCATAGAGGCTAGTACTTATAATATATTACAAAATGGAGCAATTTGGCTTGAAGGACCATAATCAATAGTTAACTGCCTTGTACCTTTGTATATACACATTTATGTAGATAAGTTGGGTGTATAACTAAAAGGTATACTATACATAGGCCTCATTCCTTACAAACAAAATAGATCCTAGATGAATCAAGGATTTGAATATAAATATATGACATTATTAAATTGTTAGAAGATCACATAGGAGACTTTGTCAAGACCTTGGAGAGGAGAAGACCTTTTTAACTGTGACAACTGACCTAAAGGGAATATAAGATCTGACAACATAAAACTTTATTTTTTCCATACTAAAGATAGTAACTATAATCTAAGCCAAAAGAAAAACTCAAAATGGAGAAAGAAATATTGTAATTTACAATAGAAATGGCAAAGGGCTGGCCACATTTATATGTGGCTAAAATGTAGGTCAGTATTAGACTGCTACTTGCAAGGTCAGTAGTTCGAACCCAGCATCCATTCCTAGGGAAAAAGATGAGGCTAACTGCTCTCATAAAGATCTGCAGTCTCAGAAACCCTATGCAGGGTCACTCTGAGTCAGAACTGACTTAATATTAGTGGTTTGTCTGTTTGTTTTCAAATGAAAATCCATCAATCCAGTATAAAAATGATCAAAAGAAAAAACGGGCACTTGACAAGAAAAAGAATATAAGTAGTCAACATACCAGCCAGCAGAGAGCTAGTCTCACTCATTATTGATGAACTACAAGTCCTGGGTGGGGAGGGGATTTGATTTCACTGGCTCGGGAGGCACCCTTGTCTCCAGGGAGTGGTTCAGTAAGGCTGCCACAGCCCACAGGCCATTCAAGGTGAGACTTGGCCAACCAGTGGCTTGCAACGTGTTTTGCTCACTTAAACATTTTTCTCTGTCTTCTTCACAGCTATTGGCGATGCCTTAAAGAAAGCTCAGGAGGCAGGAGGCAAAGTGGCGAAAGAAGCCTCTGAGACGGTGACCAACACAGTTAGCAACGTTGTCACACATGCGGTGGAGGGTCTGGGCAAAATGGGGCAGTGAGCAAGCATGTTCACCACTGCTGTTACCCTTCCTGAATCTTAATAAATGGCATGAAATGTGTACGCCGAGTCCTAGTTTTATTCCTATGGCAGTACCAGGCAAAATAATTTTCAGTAGAAGCAATGGACATGTTCCTCCTCTGCATGGGCAGCTGGCCAGCAGGTTAGACACCAGCTGGCAGGGGTCACTAGGCTCCCAGGGTTAGTCACATGTTTTCTTTCAGCAAGCTCTCCTAGGTCAACAAGGAGCTCTTAAATAACTGTTAGTGTCGATACCACATTTCCTAAAGGATTATTTTCCCAGATATTGAACGTAGTTTTCAGATGCCTCAGTGCTTCAAGGACACCTCTGAGGAGGACCATATTTTGGCCTACATGTTCATTGGATTTTCTTTGAAATGTTCTTACAAGAGCCGAGTCAGGGAAGATAACTCAGCAGCCTGGTTGAGTCTTGAGCTAAGGAGGTTCAGATCATTAGAGCTGTTTCATATTCTAAAAGGGGCCTCAGACAAATGTTTCTTCTGCTCAGTTACAGAATTGGGTCAAGAGGACCTGAGTCCACTGCTTACTGACTAGAGCTTCACTTAGAGTCTTGTGTTAGACCTACTCAGCAGTAATGGATGATAGTTCACAATAGTAAGCTGATACCATATAAATTAATCATGTTTAAGTCTTATTTAACATACACATTTTTAATTTTTTAAAAAAGGGAATGACAATAGTGAATAATTGTTACCATGACTAATTGTGATTGTCACAACTGTAAAGGTAGAAGTTTTGTAACAAAAAAGGGGGGAGTAGTTAATTTTACAGTCCAGGAACAGAGGACCCTAGGACCATCAAGGGAGAAGAGCACGAGCAGAATGCGGGACCCTATCCAGAGAAGCAGTAACACCAGAGATGGGGACATGGAGAGAGGGAGCAGCTGAGGATTCTACACTCATGGAAAGAGAGGGACTGAGAGCTGGCGGCCAGGAGGCAGGCTTGCAGAATGTGCCCTTTGGTTATTTAAATGATTGTATATTCCTGAGTGTTTTGTGTATATCCCCCAAAACAACAACAACAACAACAAATCCCCCAGAGGGAATAGAAACAAATACTGTTGAATAATGATGCATGGAGGGGATTGTAATTATTGCAATGAAATGAAATTCAAAATCAGTATAAAACTGACTTTCTTCCATGTAATCTATCACTCAATTCACAATAAAAACTTTAAAAAAAGGGGTGGGAATGATTTTTAAAGATCCAGCATCTTCTACCTTGCTGGAAACTACTACTTCTTAACAGAATATAGTGGGTTTTGATTAAGGAATGAGATAATATTCTCTTTTAGAATTATTCTCACATTTCTGAACAACCCAGGAATATCCAGTGTCCTGGCTCTGGAATATTTGCCACTGCCCAGATTGATCTGGGTCTTATATCTTGGTTTGGTTCCTGATGACTTTTGAATCTCCCAAATTCAATCTAAGCTCACAAGGCTGTGGTGCAGTGTAATCTTCATATGGGACTTTCATCTTCAGATGGACACAGGTACATGTAGGTATGCAAAGGTAGCTAGTGTGTTTCTAATAGAAGAGATGGAAACAACCTAAAATGTTCATCAGAAATCCCTTGAGTGGCAAGTTTTGCTCTTAGAATGTTTGACACACAGAGAATATCAGAAAGATGTTTACCAGTGTTTTATTAACTATGCAAAGACTTTCGATTGTGTGGATCATGGCAAGCTATGAACAACATTGCGAAGGATGAGTATTCTAGAACATTTAATTCTGCTCATGAGGAATCTGTACA